CGTCTTTGTTTCTCTATAGTATTTGTGGGAGGGGGTTAAAATGTTTTCCTTTGCCTGTATGGAACCAGACTCATTCCTTCTTCCAAATAGGATCTCTTCATGATCTCTCCAGTGAAGTCATTTTATTTTTATAACTTTGTGTGTGGTAATGTGTACCTATATACCTTCTGAGCTCATTTCTCCCCTCCAATGGTAGAGCTGGGAGCGACACAAGTATATGTGTTTATATCATCCCCATAACTTCGTTCGTATCTTGACTCACACTAATTATCTAGTTACCCCAGTGTTTTGTGGAACACGTTACAAAAATCTTTTGCTAGTTTAGAAACTTTCGAGGCTTTGTCTGAGCAATCTCCCAATGAGTTTTTAAAGGACCTTATCAACCCCCCACAGAATATTTAAAATTTGAACACAGCTCCATCTTTATCCACGAGGGGATATGAGCTGGATGATGTAACTGCAAATAGTCTGAGTAGATGCGAGAGCTGATGGAGTGAGTCACTGTGTGCACACTGGGATTCAGCATCACGATGCTGCCCCACAGACTTGAGTCTTTCTGCCTCTTCTCCTTGACCTCGGTGATAATTATTCATCGGCGTATGAGAGATTTCAAATCTGCTTCCTATTAGAGATAGTAAAATAGTACAGCCTTCTTTGAAATAAAAAGATGTACCTTCCTGTTTTCCATGTTATATACTAAGTGTCACACACCAGGTGTGTCTAATAGCTGTCTAGAGGACTTGGAGCATACTGAAAAGAAAGTGGTCTCAGTGGTAGCGATACTTTGGAACATTCAGGCTTCGATTTCATCGTGTTTGTCACTTAGTGAACATACCCAGTACTCACACTCGATGCCATTGGGCTGCAAAGATAAATGACATAATCCCACATTTCAGCAAGCCTACCAGAATCCCACCTTCAAACTCCTGATCATAGCAGGTTGAGTGTCCCTTGTCTGACATGCTCGAGACCAAAAGTGTTTCAGAGTTGCTGCTGTTGTTTTGGCTTAGTTCTCCCTCCCCCAGATTTGGGACTTTATCTATATAGTGAGATTCTTTGGGAATGAGACCCAAATCAAAACATGGAATTCATTTTTTCATATACCCCTCACTTACATGTCTGAAGGTAATTCCATGCTGTAATTGTCCACATCTTGTTGTACCTACATTTTGACTGCCACCTGTTACCTGAGGTCATGTATAGTTTCCCATTTGTGGCATCTTGTTGGTACTCAAACACCTACAGATTTTGTGCCATTTCAGATATCAGATTTTTCCATTGGAAGTGCTCAATCTGCATGGCAAGTGAAAACATGTAAAAGTTAGCTGTATTCTGAGAAGAAAGGTAAAAGAAGCAATAATTTTGAATTTGGCTTCATTGTATAACTCAGGTGTCACTACTGAAGGGACTGAGGAAGGAGGCAGGCTTATGTGTGTGAACATACTATGTAAACACTTTTCATATACTTGGGCCTCTGTGTGTCCCTTGTGGAAGAGGCTATTGGCAAGCTAATTTAACACTCATTCCCATCCATCCTTCTGCCTTGACAGATGCACCATGGACTCTAAGAAAACTAAATACATACGTAGTGACAGCGCTATAACATAGCCTGGCCAATTGGCCCTGTTTGGAAATATATCGAAATATGTAGAAATAGTTCTGTTTTCCAAATGAGAAACAGATATACTTGCTATTGACTCCTTCTTCTTGCCTTCAGAATAGTCATTTTAGTTGTACCCAGGACAACCACTCTGAGATATTAGGAGATTTGAATGTGGAGTTGAATGTGGAGATGTGGTTGAGTTCCCAGTCAACTTAGGTAAGGAAAATCAATCCTTCTTTTAAGTCATTTTTAGAGTTTTTCTATTGCAGCTAATGCACCCCCAGATGATGCAGGCATAAACTACATACACATATAGCATGTGCTCACTTCATGTCTTACTGTTAAGTCTTGGTAGTTCTTGAGAGGCTGTCTTTATTGTTGCATAATAGTCTTGATTATTGCATTTGGTACGATCATCTGTGTTCATTAACATTTGCTACTATACTTGTTTTTAAAGACCATAAGCTTAAGTGTGCGTGTTGTCATCGCTACATCAGCCAGCCATTCGTCTCCCTCCCTCTCCAAGGGACTTCTTCTGTGAGCTGCAATATTTAAAGTAGATTCACTCTACTGTCACTTCCAAGTATTTGAGCAAAAGGGAGAGTTGAGTGTCTCTCATTTCAAATCAAAAGCTGGAGACAATTAAACTAAGCAAGGAAAGTATATCTAAAGCCAAGAAAGGCTAAAAGTTTGTCTTTTTTTTTCCCAAATAGCCAAGTTGTGACTATCATGCTTCAAGGAAGTTAAAATCTAGTTCCAATGAACACATGAATGATACAAAAGCAAAACAATATCCTGACGCTGATGTGGAGAATGTCTTTGTGGTTTGTCAGGAGATGAAACCTGCTAAGACTGTCCTCTGAGCCAAAGCCTAATTCGAAGCAAGCTCCTGGCATGGGTGGTTCAGTGGTAGAATTCTCCACCCTCAAAGCAAACTCTTAACCTCTTCAGTCCTGTGAAGGCAAATACAGATGAGGACGCTGCCGAGAAAGGTTCAGAGCCAGCAGATTGACTCAAGTGTTTTTAGTGAAGAGTCCATCTCCATACATGAAAGTTCCAGGTCAACCAGTAAGGGGAGATGCAGAAGCTATAACAAGATATCCATCCAGAAGGTCTAGCGGGAATGGTTGATGAAGATGTCAGTATTATCAAACAGACTTTCAGTGACGACCAAACAAGCTTTTAATTAGAAAAAGAAGCCAGCCAAAACATTGGTAGCTAGAAAGGAGAAATGAATGCCCATCTTCTAAGGGACAAATTGGGACAAATGCAGCTGGTGACTAAAGTAAACCAGTGCTCATTTGCCATTCTGAAAGTCTTTGGGCCTTTAAGGGTTATACTGTAGTGAATCTGCTCTGCCTGTGCTCTGTATATGGAACAACAAATCTTGGGTGACATATCTGTTTATAACATGGCGTGCTGAACATTTGATACCCATTACTGAGACATACAGCTCAGGGAAAAAATAATTTAAAATGTTATTGCTCATTGACAATGCACCTGGTCAGCCAATGATTTTAACAGACTTATAAACATAAGAAGATTAATGTTTTCATGCCTGCCAACACAACATTCACTGTGCAGCCCACAAATCAAGGAGCAAGCTCAACTTTTAAGGCTTATTACCTAAGAAATGCTTTCTATAAAGGATATAGGTGCCATAGTGATTCTCTGATGGAGCGATGTAAATTGAAAGGGTTTTGGAAACAATTCACTATCCTAGATGCCAGTGTGGTTCATTGGATGAGGTAAAAGTCACAGCACATTTAAGAACCATGAAAAAGAGTGATTCCAGCCCTCAGAGATGACTCTCAGGGATTCAAGACTTCCCAGAAGGGAGTAACTGCATATGTGGCAGGCATAGCAAAAGAACTAGAGGCTGTAAATGAATTTCTGTAATCATATGATAAAATTTTAATGGACAAGCCAAAAACCAAACAAAGCAAAACTGCTTTCTTACAGTGGGATCTATTGCCGAGGAGGATGCTATGAAAATTGTTGAAATGATAACAGAAGATTTAGAATGTTCCAGAAACTTGATTGGGAAGGTAGTGGCAAGGTTTGAGATGACTGAGTCCAACTTTGAAAAAGTTCTGCTGTGGATAAAAGACTGTCAAATAGCATTGCAGGCTCCCAAAAAAACAGTAGATGAATAAATCACGTGGCAGATTCCACTGTCTTATTTTAATTGGCAAGCCTCCTCAGCTGATAAGTCAGGAGCCATCAACATCAAGGCAAGATGCTTCACTGGCAAAAAGCGTTTTTAACTCCGAAAGGCTCAGGTGACCATTAACATACTTGCATTGTGTTTTCATCCATGATGGCATTACACACTAAATGAGCTATAGTGTAGTGTAAGCATAAGATGTATTTACTGAAAAAAACAGAAAGTTCATGTGACTTGCTTCATTAGAATTTTTGATGTGTTGTTATCTTAGAGTTTCTGTTGCTGTGAAGAGACACCATGACCACAGCAACTCTTATAAAGGAAAAGCATTTAATTGGGATGACTTACATTCCCAGAGGTTCAGTTCATTGTAGTCATGGTACAGCATGGAAGCATGCAGACAGACATGGTGCTGGCGGACTGGCTGAGTGTCCTACATCTTGACTTGCAGGCAACAGGAAGTGGTCTGTTTCACTGGTCATGGCTTAAACACATAAGAGTCCTCAAAACCCACCTCCACAGTGACACACTTCCTCCAACAAGGCCACACCTCTAATTAGTGCCACTCCCTTTGAGGGCCATTTTCTTTCAAACCACCACAATTGTGGTGTTCCAGAACCAAACTCGCAGCATCCCTGAGGTATGACTCTATTCATTATATTAGGTTTTATGTGAAAGACAGAGCCTGTACACTAGAGCCCTGTGGTGATCTCACCTTCCAGAACACAAATCTAAAGCCATGTGGAAAACATTCAAACTGTGTTTTCTTAGAGCCTCTCTCAGTCGCGCGGTTTTTCCCCCCCACCTCATCACTTTTAGTTCTATTGCATGTGTTTCCTGACACTGCATCAGAGTGAAATTTAACATGGTTTTAAACAGGTCAAGATTGTTTCTCCCTGATTTGTTTCTAGTAGCCACCTACTCCTTTTTAGCCGACTTTTCAAAACCCCTCATTCAGGTAGGGAGGTAGATTTGGGGTTTGTTATTATTTTATGAATGGGATCCTTACTTTGAAAGAGTTAAGGTAAAACAACATCAGGGAGTCTCATTCTTAGCCAAAATAACTGGATTAAAGTCAAGGATCCTTAAGAAGGAAAAGCAGGATGGCTGGAATTTATGCTCAAGTCCATGAGTTACCTTTGTCTCTAATTTTAACATATTTCCCCTTCTGTTCTTACCCAGTAAAGCAGTCCTCCCCATCAGAGTTTTAACGCTTTTTTTTTCTTTCAGAATCTTCAGCTACTTGGAGCTACAGCCATTGAGGATAAATTACAAGACCAAGTGCCTGAAACCATAGAAACGCTCATGAAAGCTGACATCAAAATATGGATCCTTACCGGGGACAAGCAAGAAACTGCCATTAATATTGGTAATCCACCCCACTCAAATCTTAAATCTTGATACTTTCTAACAGACCAATGTGTTTTAGTAAGATGAAGTAAAGAGGTGTTAAAACCATGAGGCTGGGGCCACTGAGGACAAGGGTTTTCATCTGAACACAAAATAGTTAATCTGAACAGATTCAAGAGGAGGGATGGAGCTGTAGAAAAAACAACAGAGCCAGTCTCAGTGGAATCTGGCCCCCTCATAAGAAGCCTCATTCTCCAACCTGGAGCAGGTACATGACATCATTGCCCTTTCCCCTAGTGAGCTTCTCAAGTTTATGTGTATTTCTATATCTAATGTACTTAATTCTAACAGACTGAAATGTGTGAAAGGATAACTTCTAAGAAAGCTTCTTCCTGTTCCAGGAAGGGGATTATCTCAGACTATCCCAAGGCTGGTGTCCTGGTTAGTTTCTTGTCAACTTGATATAAGCTAGAGTTATCTGGGAGGAGAAATATTGTGGAATCTTAGTTTAACTATGTAGAGATGTGTTGCTGTTTTACCTTGCCTGCCTAAGGCACCTGATTGGTCTAATAAAAAGATGAATGGCCAATAGTGAGGGAGGCGTATAGGCGGAACTTCCGGGTAGGGAGGGTAAGTAGGAGGAAGAATTTAGGCTGGAAGAGAAGAAAGAAAAAGAAATGCCAAGGAGATACCAGGGGCCAGACAGATAGACAAGAAAGTAGGACATAACTGAATGAAAGGGGAAAAAGCCCCAAGGTAAAATATAGACGAGTAGACACAGGGACATGCATTCATAACTAATAAGTCTCCGTGTCTTTATTTGGGAGCTGGTTAGTGGCCCAAAGAAAAAGTTCTAATTGCAAAGGAATGTTGGTTGAGAAGATGCCTCCGTCAGTTTGCTGTAGACAAGGCTATGGGGCATTTTCTTGATGAATGATTGATGTGGGAGAGCCTCACCTACTGGAGGTGCTGCCACCCCTGGCTCATGGTCCTAAATGATGTAAGAAAGCAGACTGAGCAAGCCATGGGGAAAAAGCCTATAAGCAGTGTTCTTCCATAGTCTCTGCTCAGTTCCTGCCTCCAGGTTCCTGCCTTGAGTTCCTATTCTGGCTTTCTTGGAAGGTGGACTATAATATAGAACTGAAAGGTGAATAAACCCTTTTTTCCCCAAGTTGCTTTTGGTCAAGGTGTTTATCACTGGGAACTTAACTCAGAGGGCAAGAGGAATAGAAACAGTAGACCAAGATATCTAGTCTAAGGACCAAAGGCATCCCTGTGCCTCTGCCACTCAGCTGAGCCACCCTTCTGGGGAAGGAACTTACTTTCCACTTCTGCTTTCTCACCTGCTGAAATAAACCTTGACACTTTGCTTGTTGTACCTGTCCCCCAGTGTGAATTCTTCTGGAACACAAAAGCTGAGATCGCTGCTGTAGTTGGGATCAGAGAGAACACGGGAGGAGGCGATCTCTCCTCATCCATAACAAGATATTTTAAGACTTGGTATTTCAAGACTCCAAATGTGTAATGTTATTAGGCTCACCTGTTTGTTTACTTGTGGCCCCAGTGCCCCCTTTAAAGTTGCAGTGGTTTTGTGTACAGCCAAACTTCCTTGTACAACCACACATGCACTCTCAGACCCTGCATCTTGCTGGCTGAACATACCGCTCCATCAGTGGCACATGAATGTAACAACGCTGCAGTTGTCTTTAAAAGTCTGGAAATTGTACCAGTGACGTGTTTATGTGCTAGATCTACTTGCTATGGCCAGAAGTTGTTTCTAACATATGGCTGTCAATTCACTTACATCTAACAGTCAGTTACCAATTTTTTGCAAAGTGTTTGTCCTCTTAAGCTGCTATAGTAGAGTATCACAAGCCAGGTAGCTTAAACAACAGAAATGTATTTCTCACATTTTTGGAAAGTAGAAATCTGAAATTTGAGTCAATACGTGAGTATTCAGACCATAGCAGGCCATGACTTCATTTAACTTAATTACTTCCTTAAAGGTCCCATGTCCATATGCAGACCACAGTAGAAAGAGTCAAGGCTTTAGCATTTACATTTGAGAATGGGAGAGACACAAAGTGATTTGTAATACAAGTCTCACAAAGAAGAAAGCATTTGGTATTGTTCAAAACCAATATGGAAAAGGAAGAACCATTTTTCCAGGCTCAGTAACCATGGATGGATAGTCCAAACTCTGTAAGATATAGGTTCACTTCTATGAACTACTCATACACATTACATAACAAATTCCTTAAAGTTAAATGTTCATGGTATACATAGCATGGATCCACACTTTTAGAAGATCATTATTAAAGTCTCTTTATCTTAAATACATTTCATTAATAGTCCATTTAGAAGTTTTAGCAGAGAGCCTAAATTGTTCTTGGAATATAAAAAAACTATACCATAAATGCATAGTAAATTTGTATTAGGATTGTCTAGAGGAACAAAACTTGTAGAATGAACATATATATAAAATTCTTCACCACTTCTCTGATCAATATATATCACATATAGGATATATAATGAATATATATTTTATGTATATGTACTCATTCTACATGTTTTGTTCCCCTAGATAATATAGATACAGATGTATAGATGTACATAGGGAATTTATTAGAATGGCTTATAGGCTGTGGTCCAGCTAGAACAATGGCTGTCTACCAATGAAGAATCCAAGAATCCAGTAGATGTTCAGTTCACAAGGCTGGATGTTTCAACTGGTCTTCACTATATGCCAGAATCCCAAAGAAGTAGGCTGTAAAGCCAGTGAAGGGTGAGAGCAAGCAGACAATAAGCTTCCTTCTTCCAGCAGACAGTGTGGCCAAGATTAAAGATGGATCCTCCCACCTCCAAAGGTCCATATTATATTACACATGGGCCTTCCCACTTCAAATGACTTAGTTAAGAAAAAAATCCCTCACATGTATGCCCAGCTGCTTGGGATTTACTTAATTCTAGGGGTCAAGTTGACAACCAGGAGTAACCATCACAAAGTCTGTGTAATTAGAGTTTTTACTTTTTGGATTTTTTAGGTTAGCATACAAGCAATGGGTTTTATTGTGGCTTCTCATGCTTAGATGTCTCCCTTTGTTCCTCAGCCCTCTTGTGCCTCCGCCCCCTCTGCTGGTTCCCCTCCTTCCCCCAGATAGTGTGCCCTTTCTACTTTCTTATCACAAGGGTACATTACTCTGTTTCCCCTTCTCAAGACTATTGCCTCCCTTCTCAGGACCCCTTTTTAGTCTCATCACACACACACACACACACACACACACACACACACACGCACGCGCGCGCGCACCCACACGCATGCACATATACACACAGAGTCAGGGTTCTACATAAAAGAGGAAACCTGTGCAGTATTTATTTTCTGAGTCTGTTTTCTAGTTCCACACATTTTTCTTACAAAAGTGACTATTTAAACTGGAAAGCTGTCGGGCCATGATCATTTCCGGAAAACGGTAGAGGGTTCATTCTTCCAGGCAGTGACCGTCGTTTCTGGATCATGTCTACAGTACTAGGCTCCAATTCAGTGCAAGAAACAGTAGGGGACAGAAGAAACCACGTACCTGTCTTGTGAACTAAAGTCGGGGAAACAGTGAATTAGAAAAGTGCAGAGCTGTTGTGGAATATTTTGATCTCACTCTGACACTCCAGAGACTGCAGATAAGGTTTGCCTTGAATCAAAGGGCAGCGTTAGCTACTAGATGACCAGAATTAGCCATAGAGGTTTTAGGGCATGCAGGGTGTATAGAGAGACACAGGAAGTAGTAGGTAGGGCCTCAGAAAGATTCGTGGGCCCTTTTGAATTGAGGAAGGAGAGAGAGGAGGTCACTGATCGCTTCTCCATCACATCTCTGGTCAATCAGGTTTTACCTCAATATCCAATTCCCGAGTTTTATTTAATAATAAAACAATATAAGAAATCATGACACAGGGCATTTCAGAAAGCAATGATTCCTATTTTTTAAAAAATGTCAAGGGACTGGCGAAATGGCTCATGGGTGCTTGCCCCCAAAGAAGCCACATAAGACAGCCAGGTGTGACAGTGTATGTTTGTAATCCCAGTGACAGGTGGGCAGACACAGACTCAGCCTGGTCTACTGAGTGAGCTTCAACTAGTGAGAGACTCCTCCAAAAAAAAGGTAGATGGCACTTGAGGAGTGGCACTCTCATTCAGCCTCTGGCCCCACATTTGCGAGCACACACACGCACGCATGCGCACGCAGGAGTCACATGGGAGGAGATAGGCCATTGCACAGAGGGGAATCAGGAAGAACTCACGCAGAAGCTGCCATTTGAGGAAAGACCTGGAAGAGGAGAAGGAGTCTGCTGTAGGTGACAAGGCAGCAGTTGTCATCTGTGGCAGAGAGACCAACAGTTCCAAGGTGTGCCGCACACAGGAGCCAGACAGGATGGGAGTGCCAGGCCTTGAGGAGCCTCTGGATTTTCTCTTAGTGACAGGGAAGACACAGGATGGTACTCTGCAGGGAAAGACATGATGAGTTTCCTGTGCATACAGACTGCATGCCAGAGTGACATGAGTCTTGGAAAACCAGCGTAGAAGCAGAGTAGTCAGTGGGGACACTGCCATGTTGATCTGGGGGGCAGGAGGGAGTGGTGGGTTTAACCAAATGGTAATGGTGAGAGGTGGCTTTACCCCAGTTTTTAATTTTTTTCTTTTATTGAAAATAGAATGTTTCTAACAATATATACTCATTACAGTTTCTCCTCCCAGTTTCTCCCCATCTTCCCTCCCATCTGGATCCAGCCCCTCTCTGTCCCTCATTAGAAAATAAACAGCCTTCTGGGGATAATAATAAAATACAATAAGATAAAAAAAAACCTAGTACATTGGAATAGGGCAAAACAAACAGAAGGAAAAGAGCCCAAGAAAAGATACAAGAAACATAGATGCAGGAATCCAATCACTCACACTCTCAGGAATCCCACAAAAACACTAAGCTGGAGGCTATTGTATATGTGTAAAGGACCTGTAGAAAGAGAGGAAAATATATAAATGAAATAAAAATAGCATTGAAAATAATTCTTAAGGCCTGACATGGCATTATGAGACAAGGAACCTCCAAAGGTGCTATTGAGTTTGTTTTCTGTTGGCCATCTATATAGAACATGCAGCCACCCTTACATGTAGTTTCCCCAGTGAGACTCCCTTGGAGAAAACTAAATTTTAATTTGCAAGTAGTTACCAGTTGGAGCTAGCTTCTGGATTAGAGATGGAGGCATGAGTCCACTTCTCCTTTCAACTCTAAGACCCCGTCTGGTGTAGACCGGCACAGGTCCTGTGCATTCTGCCTTAGTCTTTGTGAGTTCACGTGCACATAGATGCCTTCGATGTAGAGGGCCTTGTCTTCTTGGTGTTCTCCACCCCCTCTGGCTCTTACGCTCTTCCTGACTCTTCCCCAGAGTTCCCTGAGCCCTGAGGGAAGGGATTTCATGAAGACATCCCATTTAGGACTGAGTGTTCCAAAGTCTATCATTCCCAGCAGGATGTCTGGCAGTGGCTCTCTGTATTTGCTCCCATATGCTACAGGAGGAAGCATCTCTGACGATGGCTGAGCATGGCACTGAGATTACAGAGGCAATGAGTGTAAATGACGATATCATACTTTTTGTTAGTGTGAGATGAGTCGGGTAGGGTTGCCTGTGTTTCTTCAGCTACATCAACTGTATCAAGCCAGTAGAGAATAGGCAGGCATGGACTTAATACAGAAGTGAATTTGTCATGAAGGGAAGACAGCATATGAGAGAAAGAAGGGCAAGAAAATGATGCCATGACCACCCAGGACAGGGAGACAGTGGGGCCAGCAGGTCCGAGAGAGGCAGCCACCCTCCTGAACCTTCTCTGCAAACATCCCTGGCACAGCCTTCCCTCTTCACAAAGGATACAGTGCTTGGCTGCTCCAGGACGTGGAGACACTCGGCACAATTGCTCCATGTTGTTTATCCAGGCAGCTGCAAGTGATGTCCTTACCTCACACCCTTCCTAATGGCCAACAAGGACATCTCACTTGTACCTTCCTGTTAGTCTGGAAAACAATCGATGGCCCCTCCCTCTCCATAAAACCCCTCTGTAGGTGTTTGATCACACCATTGTTTCAGCAGCTTCACTTCTTTCCAGAAAAGCTAATAATATCTATGTATTATATGTCCCTAGGACACTCCTGCAGACTTCTGAAGAAGAACATGGGGATGATTGTTATAAACGAAGCCTCTCTTGATGTAAGTGACTTTGTTCTTCTTGGTCGTCAACGCCTTCCTTCGGTTTTATGTCAGGTACCTGTGGAAGCACTTCATTGACGTGAGGTTAAAAGACACCCTCGTATACTTTAATGCCATGACTCTGCTTTAACTGTGTGTACAGCATGGGACAACAGTAGCGTAAAGTGACTCATGCCTTACACTTGTGTTAGCTGGGAGAAACTGCCATCTGATTTCTTTAACGTCATAAGGCAGGAAAGCTGCTTCACAGAAACCCCGGATCATTCGTATATAATATTGCATATTTTGCGTATTAAGCTCTTTATATCTCTTTTAGCTTCCGATGTTGAGACATATTTCTGTCTTAAAGAGTTTTGGAAAGCTGTACTAAGCTAATACAAAAAAACCATGCCTGCTACAAAAGGACTCTTGGTTTTGTTTTTATAAGTTTTTTTTTCTTTCTGATGCCCTAACTACTGAGATGAAATATTTAGCAGAGTAATATGTAGGACAAATGACCTGTAAATACTTTAAAGTCAAGGTGGGTAGTTGTAATTCAAGGTGGGAGACAAAACAGGGGAGGTGATGATTTTACACCTGCTTAAAATAGTCATTATGACGCAAAAAGCAGAGAGGAGCATAGATAATTAGGGGTTGGGTGAAGCTGCTAGGCTGCCCGTCTGTGTTGAGAGATGGTGAAGAATTCATTGGGGAGAATGCTTAGACGCTGGCTGTGGGGCAGAAGGTACCTGTAAGATTACTTGATTGCAAATGTTTTAGTTACTTGACTTCAGAACCTGATGCCTCTTCCTTTTCTTGTGAACTCTCTGACCAACCTGCAATGGTGTGTGATTTTGCAGCAGTGTCACCATGGCTCTGCCTCTTGTGCCCTTCGGCAGTCTTCCTGCCCACGTATGTGTTAGCTTTGGCTTGCCAGAGCCAAGGTATGATCTTGTGAACAGTGGCCAAGTCAGCCCTGCCCTCGAAGAGCTGACACATAAGAAGTGAAGTAAAGGTCCGCAAATAATAGCACAAAACAGATACGGAGATGAGGAAGATGTCTGTTGTGGATGGGGCTTCTGTGACATGTTAGGATGGGTTCATAAAGCAGGTGATAGCCAGTCTGGTACAGGCCAGTCAGGAGGGAGAGTATTTGGAGCAGAGAGTCCTTGCAGTGAGGATCAAGCCGCACTTGGAGAATGGAAAAGGGAGCATTGACCTTGAACATAAGGTTGTAACTTGTTAAAGACTGTCGTTGGAGTAAGAAGAAGCATGTAGTGTGGATTTTCAGTTCCAGGAAACAGTGCAGGTCATAGAAAGTGGACTGTCCGTGTGTGCATCTGAATTTTAACTTACCCCTTGTACCTGTGCACAGAGAGCTGTTCTATAGCTGATGCTTGTTTCTCCATGTACATACTCTAAGTGGGTTTGGTTTTGGTTGTTGTTGTTTTTACATTTCTTCGTTTACTCACTGTGTGGAGATCAGAAGGCAACTTGTAGGAGTCAGCTCTGTCCTTCCACCACCTGGGTTCCAGAGATCAAACTCAGGTCAGCAGGCTTGGCAGCAAGTACTCTTACTCACTCAGCCTTCTCGCCAGTCCATACTCCTTACTGTTAGAAACCAATGATATGGTTAAGGACTCTTGCAGAGGACCCAGGTTCAGTTCCAGCACCCACCACCCACATGGTAGTTTACAATTATCCCTAACTCCAGTTCGAAAGGATCTGATGCCTTACATACATGGAGGCAAAACACTTATACGCATAAAACAAGTAGTTTTAAAAACAAATCTTAAAAACCATGCCACACTCTGCACACTGCTTTTTCCTTTTTGTGCATTGCTTTTTTGCACTTGCTATATCTTAGCCAATGTTTATGTGTCTGTGTGATGTGTATGGCATGGTACCTGTAAGGCACCGAGAAAGAAGTGACAGTTATAACTGGAAAAGTCATCTCCAGCCAACCGGAGAAAACTGGGCTAGGTTAGAGAGCGGCAACAGTGAATGAGGAACACCTATGCATATTCATGCATATTAGGTACATATCAGAGCAATGGCGGACAGGCATGTTTGGAAGGGCCGGGAGGCGTGGATCTCATGTAAAAGACGGAAATAAAGGGAGGAAGGAAGTGGGACCCCAGTGCCACCAAGGATACGGTGTAGGAACAGCTCAGAGACTTGACACTGGTCCCTGGGAAAGGAGCCACTGGAAAGTAACTCCAAACCAGGCTACGTGTGCTCCTAGCATTGTGGAAAATGCAGTGGTAATGTTCCATCTGCCGGCTGGAGGCTGCGTTGTTCCAGTCCCATGGGTCACACTGGTGAACAGTTTCTCTTACACCAGGAGGATCAGAACGCTAGAACCTGTGGGACTGAATGCAACAAAACAAGTCCACTTCATTGCTTGCGTCTGGAGTTAGGCTTCCTCCTTCTCGAGCGTGTGGCAGCGTGCCTGCTTTTAAAATTTTATCATACTGTGTCATTTTCATCCATTTCTTAGGTAAGCATTGCTTTAAGTGTTATCAAGTTCTATAAACAACAGGCTGAAGGGGAGAGGTGAAATATCAAAAATATTCAATATACAATGTCCCAGTTCACTTTCTCTTCCAGTGATAAACACCCTGACCAAAAGCATCTTGGTTGGAAAGAGTTTATTTGGCTAATAGGTTACAGATCATCAAGGGAAGCCAGGGTAGGAATTCAAAGCAGGACCTGGAGATGCACCGCTTCCTACGGCATTCCTCATGGCTTGCTCAGCCGTCTTCGTTGTGTAGCTGAGGTCCATATGTTCAGAGATGGCACCTACCCACAATGGACTTCATCAATTAGCAATTAAGAAATTGTCCCCTAGACACGGGCTAATCTGATGTAGGCAATTCCCCAGCCGAGAGGCCCTCTTCCCAGCTGTGTCTAGGTTTGTGTCAAGTGGACAAAACCAACCAGCATGCACACTATATTGTTAAGACAGTGGCGTTTGTTTTCATTTTTAGATTTCTCAGGTGGTAACTCAAATCGAGAAACACCTCAAAGGTGCTTTCACTACCTATTTTTCCAAGAAATAAGAGAGAAGAGACTCTGGGAACACACAATTTCACTGAGAGCAGGGACTGCTCTGGCTTATCCTTCCCAATGCCCAGCAAATTACCTAACACATAGTAAATACTGGATAGATACCTGAGCGGTGAGTCACCACATAATTTTAAATTAAGGGCTTCCCTTTAAAAAAAGTGCATCAGTTTTCAATTTGAGGTAATTCATCATATCTGAAGCCTCCTTATGAATTCAAGTAGTTTAGGGCAGGAGCCAGACACTGTGGCTCAGTGGATTAACACTCATTTGCCTGCGCTCTGGCTGCCAGTCTTCCAAGCAATGTCTGGGGAAGGTTTTTCTCCCTGGGAGCTGAGTAGTGAATTTACAAATCTGGCTGTCTGAGGTCAGACCTCCTGGGATGAACTCATTTGTTTCTCACCAGGAGATGAACCATCATTTTGCATGGTGCCTTCTGATCCCTCATAAAATCTGGAGGCTCAGAGCTCAGGCAAAATCCTGAGAGCTGCTAGAATGCCTGTAGGTAAATCATTACTCGTATTTCCCATTGCAGAGGGGAAGAAAAACAGCCTGTCTCTATTCAGACTATACTGATAGATAGCAAGAAGGTACACGGTGATTGGTCCATGAGCACAAAGAACAATTAAGAAGAAGGAAACCCAGGATCATAACTGTCTCAGGAATGAAGTTATGAATGTGTGACTTGTCAAGTGCATTGGAATTGTCCTCTGAAACAACACAGTGCGGACCTTGGATGTAGAAATCAGCTTCTCAGAGCCATAGTCTAGCTATCTGTTTTGCTTGATGTGCATTTGTATAAAACTGTATCATTTCCCATTTTTAATATTTTTCGTAAGGTAGTAAGTTCTGGCTGTAGGTCATCTTTCATACGAGTAACACATATTACTATATACAGTGCCCAAGTTTTCTACCAAACTAATGTTAAGTGGAAAAGATAGGTCTCGTGTTGTGTTGTTATAATGAATTATATTTTGAAGTTCTAAAAAGTCACATTGAAAATGTCTCATTTCCATTGTTGGCACAGAAGAACATGCCTATAATCTCATCATTCAGGAGGATAACAAGCTTGAGACTGACCCGAGCTACATAGGAAGATGCTATTTCTAAAAAGAAGGGAAAGTTTCTTCTGGTGATTCTGATAAAGGAAATATTTCTCTCCCAGAAAATAGATTGTCCAAAAATCTTCACTAGGTTTTTCCCATTATCTCTCTAGTTTTAGTGTCACTAACCTTGAAACACACACACACACACACACACACACACACACACACACACACACCTTCCATTTTTAAAAACCCTTTGAATAAATGCACACAACCATTTGGAGACCTACACACCCAGTGTCTCACTCTTAGGACCTGAATGGGAACCTGGCAGACTCACCTGCCTCCACCTTCTGTGGGGTGCCACCACATGGCAGAGAAAGATATGCTCCGTGACAATGCAGGTGTCTTAGGCAGAAAGACTTGTTGAACTTTTTCAACTTAAAAATAAGAATTCCAGAGTATGGAAATGCCTCAGTGGGTAATATGCTTACCGCACACGCATATAGACCTACATTTAAATCTCCAACATCTGCCTAAAAGCCATCATGGTGGCACATGTCTTTAACCTAGAAGAAAAGAAATACAGACTCAAGGAGCTCTCAGCCAGATAGCCTAGCTGAAAAGGCAAGACGCAGGTTCAGTGAGAGACCCTGTCTCAAGAAATAAGGAGAGAAATAGAAAAAGCCATCCAAACAGTGACCTCCAATGTACACATGTGCGGCACAAGCATACACACACACACACACAGTCACCACACACACACACACACACACACGGAAGCACATGTGCATATGTCACACATACAAAGAAAGAGAAGAATTTCATGGATAAGTGTCATTGAAAGGTATGTGAAACTGATCAAAACCTACTAGGTAATAAGCAGATCCTTTCCATAATTCGGGGGGA